AAGAAAGAAAGGAAAGATTGCTAAGTTTCCTCGAAAAGAATACTTTGTCTTTTTTTTCCTTTTTCCTTTTGTACGGACGGTAGATGGACGGATGGATGGATTGATGTAAGTCGAGGAAGAAAATTTTCTTTTTCTTTTTTTTTTAGTGTTTTAACTTGTAACGCGAGATACTTCTTATTTATTGCTATTACTTTTATACTTTGGCACGAACTACGTAATACAGATCATTTTTATTTTTTTTTAATTGACACGTTGGATCGTGTTTTCTGTTAGAAAAAAATAGAATACTTGGAAATGATATCTCATCATAAAAAACATGGCAGAGAAGAACGTGTTAACCAATTAAAAGTCGTAAGTCACTTATCACGTGACTTTGTCGCTGCTGTCGCACGTCACGTGGTATGTGAAATTGAGAAGCCATATTTATTTAGTGAGAATAAGCTAGCGACTGATAAGGGTTAATAAAATAACGATTTAATAATTGCTTACCGGTTTCTGGGTCGCAGAGACAACACTCGTCGACGTGTGGACCCTTTTCCAGCCCCGTACAACAGGGCACACACTGATTGTTTAATTTGTCCAAATGCAATGGAGGCGAGCATGCGGCACAACTGAATTTCCCGGGTCCTGTACATCTGCGACAATCTGCATGACAATTCTTGCAGAGTTGTGTCAAAGGATCGTAATACTGTGCACCGAGACATTCCATGCATAGACCACCTTCCAACATGGAATGTGCTGGACAAGATGTACACTCGAGTGGACCCTCACCTGTGAAAAGTAATTCGTAATTTCAAATGTATATTTAATGTGTGGAAAGAATAAAAATTCTTTCTTTTGTTTTTACCTTTACATGTACGACAATAATGGTGACATTTTTGACAACCAAAATTAGATTTGAAGAAGCCTTCCGGACATTCAGGATGACATTCGCCAGCAGCTAATTGCCAACCTGTTGGACAAGTCACGCACTGATCTCTCCTAGGACCCGAACAAGTTTTACACGAGAGATAACACTTGGCGCATTGGCCTCTGTCGCTGTAATAACTGTAATAATCAAGAAGATTAGGATCAATTAGATAGGACGGCTTGATTTTTTCCCTAGCCAGTTATAAAAACGATATTGATAAAATAATTTTACCCTTGAGCACAGGAGGATCGGCATTCGCCACTTTGCAGTTGTAAACCATCTTGACAGGCTGTGCAATTAAGTCGAGATACGCAACTCTTGCAGGTATGTAAACAAGGAACGCAAATTGGCCTGGAGGATTGCACCGCCGAGTAATATCCATCGTCGCACTGTGAAACGCATCGACGCCCTTGAAGTAGGAGTGGACCTTTACAGGATATACAGAAGTCTTCGGTAGAGCCATCGCAAGTTTCGCAAGTCGAGTGACAGGGTTTGCAGTGTCCGTCGTCGTAATATTCAGCAGTGTCGCAACGATTTCTACTTTCCGGTGCGCATATACCCTTCTTATTCAAGCTCCAACCTTCAGTGCAACTGGTACAAATGGATGTTGCACAAGTTGAACATCCTGGTGGACAAGGTACGCATTCGCGTCGATTTTTATCAGCACTATAGCCAGCCGGACAAGATGCATGACAGGTTCCTACGAACGGGGAATCGATGATGTATGACGGATTATCATCCTAATCATTTTTTGTTCATTTTTTATTTCAGTTATTATAACCCCCTTCACGAGAATAATATATACTTACCGCTGAATGAGAATAAACCACGTCGGCAAGCTATACACTGATTTTCAGCAGTGCCATTACAAGATTCGCAGCTGGGATGACAGGGCGCGCAATTATAATCCTGCGTTTCGTATGTGTAGAGAGGACAGGCCGCGTAACATTTGTTCTCGTGCATCACCAAATGATGCTCGCAGCTGGTGCACTTGTCTGGTCTGTCCTGGCAGCTGGCGCAATTGGCCTCGCAGGGCACGCACGTGCTGTTCTCCGTATCTATGAAAGATTAGAGTTTGACATTTTTATTGTTATGAATTATTATTTCCTCTCGAATCCGAATCAAATCGATACTCACTCTCGTAATAACCTTCTGGACATTGTTGCAGGCAAACGGCTAGATCGGTAACACGAAGATGAGCGGGTGCACACGATAAGCAGGAATCCTGACCAGCACCAGCACAAATCTCGCAGGACTCGTGACAAGGCCAACAAACCCCACCTTGATTTGGGAAACTTCTCGGTGGACAACGGCTGACGCACGTACTGCAAAGACAGTACTCGATGCTACATTTCGCGGATACGTAGGACAATACCAATGGTGGTGATGTCTTCGTCATCTTACGTATTTGATTTTCTTATTATTCAAGAATAGTAATTGAGGGGGAGATCGTAAAGGCTAGTTTGGTGAATAAGATTATTGTAGAAAATAAGCATATCGATTAATTTACGCTCGATCCTTTGTTCCCGAGCTTCCATCAGGAAATTCCATCTCTCTCGGTAGCGTTATTCGGCCAGAACAAAACAGTTGGTTAATGCCATTGAGCAATACGATTTCAACGTGCTCGATCAGAAAGGAAAACGAATACTACTAGCTATGATATTTCAATAAAAAACTAAATAAATTTCAAACGAGTATTTGTAATCGTTTTGATCGAGCAAGTGAATTTATTAGCTAAAATAGAGTTAGTATTGTATAAAAAAAAAAGAAAGGTTACAACCAATATGAACAAATAATGACTCACTTGTCTAGTCGATAATTCTTGCACGTGACGCATTGAGTTGGACCCTTTCCATAACAACCTTGAGAATCGCATTGAGGGTCGCAATTGTGAAGTATCTGCCTGGTGGTATCGAAGGAACCGTCAGCAATCTGAGATGAAGGAACCGAAGGTGAATCGAAGGCCGAGGCTGCTGGTGTGTCACCTGGGAGCCGATTGGTCAACAGAGGAGCCGAAGAACCATCAAGAGTGGCCACCGATGCGTGGACGTTAGATGCTGCACCAGCGTAGGGTCCTTGGTAACTCTGAAAGGTAGACGGAGCAAAGAAGTCGGTGTTGCCCCGATGGTCCTGTGCTAGCGGATCATCGTCTATTGCAAACGGGTAATGCACGGATGAGAACGGAGAATGCGCTTGTACCGGGTTAAATTGACGTGTTCGTATCCTGATCGGGTTCGTTGCTGTCCCATAGAATATTAGCTGCCACTTCTTCAGTATACCTAATAAACAAATAAACACAGTTGGTAAAATCAAATTATAATTTATAGGATTACGTTGATTTCTCTTTGTTGTTAGGATTTTAATAAGAAAAAAAATTAATTGACAGTTAATTAGGTGTTTTAATTATAGACAGAAATTGCGTTCTCTATTCGGGAGAATGAAATCGTTGTTCAGATGGCCTAGCTAGCCTTTGCGAATTAGGAAGCAATTGGAAGCATGCGAAATGTATTGGGCAGAAACGTTCATTTCTATTGGAATGGGAACGTTCAGATTTCCTTTCTCGCACAATAGAGAGCGTGCATTGATGAAAGTATGAGATTACAGTTCGGTACTGTAATGGCTAGGTGTGCTGTTCTGCTGTACGTGTGCGCTCATTAATTGCAATCAGTTATCGATTAGTCGTGGACGGCATATTTCGTCATGGGTAAAAGCATCGATTACGAATTCATAGGGCTGCTTGGATAATAAAATTATCTAACGAGCGACTCGAGGTTTGCAATAAAATAGAACGTTAGGGGGATGAGATTTTGGGGTGAATGATCAACGAAGGGGATATAGTAGGGAAGAAAAAAAATACTTGCCTGGGGAATTGACGTGCCGATTTCCGGCGTTAATGATCTGCAATGTCCAACGTCCGTCTGCTTTTTCGCCCCAAAAGTGCACGCTGAGGAATGGCCAATCATCGAAGCTGGAACTAAGGACGTCGCGTGGTCTTTCGAAGAGTAAAGTCGACGTTGTACCCATCGGTGAGGTTAACAGTAACCTTAAATTACCTCGCGGGAAGAATCTCAGTGATACCTGATCGATGGAAGTTAAGTCAAAAGGATTTTCTAACCAGGTAACTAAAAAAGAATAAGAATTTTACCTTGCACTGTACGTGCTCGAGAAAACGAACTTCGTTTAAGGAACCTGCACAACCGGTAACGTCCATATAAACGCTCAATGTATATCCGTAAGTTGGATCGATGGGCCGTTCTTCGTTTATTTCGTCGGATTTACAGATATGCTGTGGTGCCACGTTGGTCCATTGTTCAGCTAGACTGACCATAGCACCTGCATCCATAAGACCATACCCAAACTTGTGTGATACTTTTCTCTTGACACCGTTTAGTATCCATCCGGGTTCCTTTTCCAGGGGTTCCGATCTCGAAGTTAGGACTACTAGGTATTGCATGTCTCTCCAGGTTAAACTTGGATTAGCTTCTAATGCCAATGCTGCTATACCGGCTGCCAATGGTGCTGAAGCCGATGTACCGGTATGTTCAACGGTGCATATGTGATCGGGTCGTAATTTAGCGTCCATGTCGACGGTTGCAACGCTTTTATCATTGCCCGGTGTTCCCGACGAGTACGTAGAGGCCAACGTAGAACTGCACTCTTCCAAGTACCACGGTTTGTAACCACCCTGAGTTGCGCTCGATATCGACAACGTGAAGATGCTGTTAGTGTAGCCATCGCAATTACACGAGTCCGTGTGTCTACCACCATTACCGGATGCCCACACGAATATCGAACCTTTTCCTTTGCGACCCTGTTAAATGTATGTGTGTGTGTATGGTATGTGTTCCCAACCCCCCCCCCCATAATCATCATCAGCATCATCATCATCATGATCATCATCGTGAAATGTTTTATTCGAACGTGATATACAAGCATAAATGCAGATATAGAAATATATGAAAAGGAACAAATATACAGTTTCCTTCCTATCATATATGTCTCGGGGACATACGTAGTATTACGCTTCGATGTTTCTCCAAGCGAGCCTCCTCTATACTCGTATACTTTATTACCACCCCTCTAGCAATGAGAGAGAGAAGAGTTATATCTAGTTTGATCTATGACCTCTTTTGCCAAACACGACGTCGTGTATACTTCAACTTTATTACGGTTAAAGATTTACTTGATTTTTTTTTAATCATCTTTGATAATACCATAAAAAAGAGTCAAGTAATAAAATATATTTATTTAACAAAAATATTAATATATTTAATATGTAATTTTAAATAGATTTTGTATAATACACCAATTCTATTTTGGTATCGAAATAAGTTTAGGTAGTAAAGAAAAAAAAAAAAAAAAGAAAAGAAAAGAAAAGGTTAGGGTTGCAAGTAATCCAAGAAATTCATGGAAATAAATTCGGGTTGAAAAGTCATCCCCCTTCTTCTTCTTCTTCTTCTTCTTTACTTTGCATAACACATGTAAGTCTCGTCGGATTTCGAATCGATAAAAACTCACCATTTTTTTTTTTCTGTCGCTTGGAAAATCATCGAAAAGGGGGATAAAGTTTAGCGCCTGATATAACTCGTGAAAAGAGAACAGGAGATAAAATAAGAAAAAAAAAGAAAAGAAAAGAGAAGAAATGTGAAAAGAAAGAAATAGAAAAATAGTATAGAATGAAATAGAGCTTACGCTTGTTACACCGTAAATAAAAGCCCTTCTAGCTAGAGGACCAGGACCGTCTACTGTCTTCCCATCGTCCTCGGGGCCCCAAGAAGCACTATATATGTCTATGTGATCAGGATTCAATCCTAGTGCTCTGGCTTCGACGGCATCGTTTACCGGGCCATCGAGCATTCGCACGCCTGAAAACACGTTAGGTATGTACGTGCGTTAGTTTCCACATTCTCTCTCTCTATATATACATATATTTTCTTCTCTACACATATATATATATATATATATATATATATATATGTACTAGGATGTTCCGTCCACGTGTTGTTGTAGTTTTGTTATAAAATATTGATTTATTATAATCCTAAACTATTTTGTAAATGATAAAAATACTTAAAACAATACTACAATACGAAAAAATAGAAAAAGTAAGGTTATGTTCTATATAAATTGAAATAATTGAACTTTAATACACCGCCATTTATTGGAAAGAGATTAGTATCGAAACATTTGTTATTTAATATAATTCTAAACTATTTCGTAAATTATAACAATACTCAGAATAATATCACAATATGAAAAAATAGAAAAAGTAAGGTTATGTTTTATGTAAATTGAAATAATTGAAATTTCTATACACTGCCATCTATTGGAAATTTACAGTAATTAATGATTTAGATAACCTATGAATAATAAATCCTTAATTTTTGCCTTCTTTTCAAATGTAAATGCAAACCATTGCAATTTAGCAGCGCAAATTTGGGAATCTTGGTATATATACAATTTTAATTGTATACGTACATATGTACTACATATGCATATGTAATATCTATGTTCTCTTACGTGCTAAGATTTTGAGAAAGTTCGTCAACTCTCATTTTCTCAATGATAGTCGTTGATCCTATGATTCTTGAATTAATTGCATACTAACAAGTACGAGAGATGCAGCTCTCGAGAATATTAAACGAAGGTAATATTAAATAATTTTGTCAATACGTGTGACGTCAACATACATATATATATATAATTTGTACGTGTATTTAAACATGTGCTCGAAATTAGGCTTGTCTTTTAAAATATTAAATCGTCCCATAAAAATCTTACAGTTTTCTTGCTGATAAAACTTGCAAAAGTTGCAATATTTTTATATGCATAATATTAATGAATCATTAAATAATTTATTTATTAAATGAATTATTTAATTAATAAATAAATCATTTAATTATTAAATTTAATAAAAAAGAAACCTTACGGGACGACTTAACAATTTTGTTTTTTTTTTCTTTTGAGTACAAAATAATTTACGATAGAAAGATAAATAAATAATAAAAAATTATTTAACACAACATTGTTACCTCCGATGCTAGAATTATATGCAACTCCAACGCCACAATATTGGTTAAAAGCAACAGCTGCCACTTCACCAGCACAACGAGTTCCATGTTTGTTGTCCCCGTTGTCTCGTGGCATTGGATCCGAGTCATTATCATTGATGTCATAACTAGCCTCGTGATCGTAGTTCAAAGCAAGATCAGGATGATTCGTTTGAATACCATCATCCAATATGGAAACTACCACTCCTTTACCAGTGTAACCCTTTTGCCATGCTGGCCCTAAATTCATGTCGTATCCATCTTTGGCGCCACCGTTCTAAAACAATTTTTGAACAAAAATCACAAAATTGTTATACTCGATTTTCTATTATCCGAGTATTTTATATTATGTCAAGTCACATTGTGAAAGGGGAATGGGAATGGGAAAGGTTGGGATGGGGTGGGGGGGGGGTGAATTACGTAGAACGTTTCCGAAATTTCGAAAAGGTTCGAGTGACCGTATAAAAAATGACTTTGCCTTTAGGTAAAGTGAAAAATTTTACAATTATTCGAAGTCCCTTCGCTTACGTCATTCCAGAATTTTAATCTTTTTTTCTGGTACATAGAAGGGAGGGAATGAAAAATAACCTAACCTCCAACTAGGAATTTTCTAGTACTTTTCATTTTCCCCACGTGCAACACAACACCTTTTTCTTAACCTTCTTTAATCTTTTTTTTTTTTTTCGATTACCCTCACTTCTCTTTACAAATTTTCTTCTTAAAAAAAACAAAAACATAAATAAATAAATAAAATAAAATAAAATAAATAAATAAACTACGAATTATTATTATTGATATGAAAATAGTAATTTGTATAAAATAATATTGATCTCGATAAATTATTGTATAATATAATAATAATAATAATAATAATAATAATAATAATAAAAAATAATAATAATATATATCTGTAAGGTTAACTTTTGTCATAGACTGTATTTATGAGCATATACTATACACGCATGTAGTACATACTACGTACCATTATTTTCACTGTTACGTTACATTAATCGAAAGCGGTCAAAGCAATTTGTATAAATGCCTCTTCGTTATTTCATACACGTGTGCACACGTAGAGAATACAATATTTAGACGGTAGAGAATAACCCTAGTATTATACTACACCGACGTAGAAAGTTACTACACGAAATTGCACTTGTTTGCTTTTGAGGGGGGGAACACATTTTAGCGCGGCCATTTCGCTCGAAACTAATCCAATTCTCGGTGGATACTAATACGTACGAGTACATTAAGGAGCAATTCCTAGTGGCTGATAGTAAAAGGCCGCACACGGATAGTAATAGTTCGCTTCTAACTTTTGTTATTTATTGATTCCTGAGGCTTGTGTACGTATGTGTTAGAGTTTTTTTCATTCGATAACCATGTTTTTTTTTCAATTTTATCCGACATACTCATTTTTTGTTCTTTTACTTTTACTTTTTTTTTTTTTCAAACTGTAGCGCAAATTTTTCGACGATTTTTAACCATTTAAATTTCTAACTAGTTTAAAAAGTCATATTTTTCTTAAAACGTATTCTCTCTCATTTATTTTCATTATTTAAGCGCTTTTTTTATTTTTTAGGTTAGATATACGAGTCAGCCATTTCGTAAGACAGATCTTTTTTTCATAAATGTACCCCCTGAAGTCCCCTGACCCTTCACCTTTCGTATATGAATCGTTAGTAATGAAAAAAATAAAACAAAGAAAAAAACCAAGTCACGTTAATTGTAAAAATGACGAAGAAAAATGTCATCGTTTGTGCTCTTTGACAAGGAGGGGGGGCCATTTTTGTTTGTTTTGTTTTTTGACAACCATATTTTTTCTACAGAAAATTTTATTACACAAACTATCGATTTATCAAAGTGAGAAGAGAAAATTGTTGAAAAGTATTCAACACAATGTTGAAATGTTATTGTTCTGTGTTTTTTTTTAAGTATCTACGATCTTTTGAGGTTATGTACGACATTCAGAGAATAAAAAAAAGACAAAGAAAATTTCTATTGTATAAAAACGACGATAAATAGAAACAAAAAAAAAAAACAAAAAAAATTGGGAAAAGAAAGATAAACATCTCAAAGAGAGTTTTACTCGTATACGGGCAATTCAATTTGCTGCATTGAACGAATCACGTACGATTTGCGGGTAAGGAGAGTTCTGCATCGTTTGATTTCCGAGAGAAGCTGTTATACATATATATATATATATGTATATAGAAGTAGGAAGAGAAATTTGAAAATGGTCATTTGCATACGTATGTGTGTGACTTGCATGATATTCAACAATATGTTACTCGCAATTTATTGGATTATCGAGAACAGCATGACTTGTTCAATTTGTTCAATTTTTCATTATTTTCTCGTATACCAACTAACACACACACACACATATATATATATATATATATGTGTTTGAAAATTTGTATCATTCTTAAACAGTGAATTTTCACACACACACACACATATATATATTTACTGTATATTGTTCTTTTCGTATTATTTTTTTCATTCATTGTTTCAACGTTGGTTTAATTTCAAACGTCATTATTGTCTTTTGTCTTAAAATGTTTCATTTTCTAGGATACCCCCTCCCTACCCTTCCCTTCCCTTCCCCTTCCCTTCCCATCCCTTCGCAACCCCCGTTAACCAGAATATTCTTTTTCATTGTGAGGAAAAAAATTCTTCTTCTATTTTTTTTCTACCCCTTTTCCTTTCACGAGAATGAAGAACCAAAAAAAAAAAAAAAAGAAAAAATTGGAAGAAAGAGAGAAAAGCTTGAACAACAAGTCAGAGGATGAAATCCCTAAAGACGATGAAGTTCTTCTTGGAAGGGTTAAAAATAAAAAAGGGTATCACGTTTTTACCATAGTGTTAAAAAGAAAGAGGAAACGTGTAAGGAACTCAAACCCCCATAGTTATGCGTTTCACGATTCTACGTGCCGGTTAATTTTTACGATCTTTACAGGGTGTTTGTGTGTCGCACGAGATGCACCAGTTTTCTCTCTCTACCTCAACTATTCCAAGGTTGCTACTTTTTATTATTATTATTATTATTTCTGTTCTTTTTTTTTCAATCTTTTTATTTTCTTCATCTTATTTTTCGTTAAATCGAATAGTTTCTACGAAGATCTTCATTGGAGAACAAATGAAGAAAAGACATTTAGATAAAAGCAAGTTAGATGACACTTGACAGTTACAGTTTTATCAGAATTCGTTTAATCATCGATAATTATTTCATATGGTATGATCTATAACTCCCTACTTGACCCCATAATAAAAGAGATTCTTCTTCTCGTTGAATAATCACGTTTTGATAAACGTGAAGAATCTGTTAATGAATAATCTGTACGTTGTTCATAAAGAGAAAGAGAGAGATAGAGAGAGAGAGATTTGTTGGAAATTAGCAGACCAAGATATAGGGTTTCGTTTGAACGTCGTGAATTCAAAGGGTGTTCGCGTAGAAACGAAAGGGATTTAACCGACGTAGCTGGATACTTTAATTACGTTCACCGGAAATTGCACGCTAGGTTGATCACAGTAAAATCTACTTTAATATCATTGAGTATTTATATCAGGTATCTATTCATTTTATTCATGAAATGTTATATCTATCTATATATATATATATTCTACATAAAACGAAGATATTTTCTTTTGTGTGCAAAAGTGTTGTAACATATATAATGGTAACACATGCATATGTATAATAGATATTTACATACTTTGGTTGTTTTTGAAGTGAAAACTTCTTTAGAATGGGAGTGATCTGAAAAGTAAATAAACGGAAACGGAGCTATGTAACGAAGCTATGAAACGGCTGCCACACTAAATAATGCGAGAAAAGTACTTTTTCCGAGGTTCTTTCCGAAAAGTAGTGTAGTTTTTTTCCGAAAAGTAGTGAGGTTTTTTAGTAGAGGTGTTTACTAGACTAACAGAGGTGTTTTGTTACCATGCATTTTTAAGTTACCAGAAGCAACTTGTCTCATTTCTTTGAATTGAGAACTTGCTTACTGTGTAATATGTTATCTATTTATATATGTTTTCAATAAAACGTATAATAATTTTTGAATGTGATAACAATAATATAAAAATAATATTATAACAAATAAACCTAACAATTATCCTACTTCTTATATTCTGCAGTCGTCTGTTTCTCTCGGAACTTAGTTTTTCGAAGGTTTCACTTCTAACACGTGTGATCTGCCCACATGATATTTTTTTTTTATATTGATATAACTTGAAGTACGTTATTATTTTTTATTATTTTTGAAATTCAAATTTTATTAAAATTTAATTAAATATAATATATATATATAACTTATTCGTAACTCCGCCTAGTTAGTATCTAAATAACTAGATAATAACTAGCTGGTCCCAAGCCCAGATAAAGGAGGAGGGTTCGATGGTAAGGCTAGCAACCTACCCTCGGTAAAAAAAACTTAACAGCTCCTAGAGCTAAATTTACAGCCTTTTTAGGCTTAAGAGACTTACTTGTATAAAATAGAAACCAAAAAAAAAATTAATACGAATGCAATTAAAGATTATCATTATCATCATCATCATTTTTATTATTATTATTATTATTTATAATATCGGATGGAAATTAATTTCCTTAATGGCGGCAAATGACATTTCGTCGAAGCGATACAATTAAATTGATTACCTACACTTTGCAAATTTCATTCTACATTATTAGCTTTCTACGAGAGTGGGAGGTGAGGTGAGGTCGTGTGGGGGAAGAGGCAATGAAATTTCATCATTTAAGGGTTAAATTTCGAATCTACAAATAATAATATGCGATATTAATATTATACCGATATTAATAATAGATTAGTTACAATGCTCCAAATTAAATGCTATAAAATTTTTTGATTTTTACATTAATAACTCTTATATCGATTTATATCGATATTAATATTAAAAAAAAAAAAAAAAAAAAATAAATGTATAAATGAAAAGATGAAAGTAAATAATATTATAAAAAAAAAAATTACAGATGATACATTTTCATTGGTTAACACATTTTCAAGCTGTTTATCGTGCAACTTAATGGATCTCTATTTGTTGGTGCGATCAATCGTGATAGCACGAGCGGATTCGATATGGCCGGTATTTTGGCTGATTAACTTGGTATCTTGCCTACATTCCACCATCTCCTCCCACTCCCCCTCTTCCTACCCCACCCCGCTTAGAACTTACGCGGACATTCGATTATACGATAAACAGGCCGAGAATTAATGCAAATTATTTCAGTCGCGAAATAATTACGTGGTCGTCGCGTAGTTATTATATCACGATAATTGGTCCTTTGTGAACGCCGTAATACGATGGCAAAGTTTATTTAGCTACAATTTTAATTGCTAATGATACGTTGAGAAAGATGAAAAAAGAAGACAAAAAATATGTATATATGTATATGTTACTGTTGAAGTTATAAAGTCTTTCAATGTATTATTAATTTATTGATATTTCCTTGAATTTTGATATGTTATATATTTGGTAACCCTGGTCAGGCGTTATTGTCCTTTGGTTATAATTAAATTTGGTTTATTATAGTAATAAATTATTCAATGTAGTAAAATAAATTATTCAATTAAATCTATAAAAAGTAAGGTTAGTTTAGTCATATGTAAATCTGAAAAACACGTGAAATAATTGAATGGTAATACAGTGCCATCTATTGAAAACTTACAGTACTTGGAGACATTACATAATCTTTAAATAAAAAGTAAGGTTTGTTTTGTCATAAGTAAATCTGAATAAAAAGGGAAATAATTAAATTGTAATACGGTGTCATCTGTTGAATATTTGTAGAACTTAGGGGACTTAGATAACCTATAAATAATTAAATTAGCAATAAAAAATAAAATATAATCGTAAAAATACTATCCTATATCCTTAATTGGACAAAATCATACAAAATAAACACAAATTTCGTTAAGATTAGATGGATATTTTCGGATTTTATCGCAAAGCAATAATATGGCACTGAATTTGTATAAATATAGATATATATATATGTTACCGGTAAAGTTAGAAAGTTGTTAATGTGCACAATACTTGGCAAGTTTAGAGGTTAATTGATTTGTCCAAAATTAATCCTGCAGCATATATATATATAAAATAGTTATTTAAAACAAGTTGAATAGTATTTTGATTATAACGTAGATTATTTCACCCAAGAGACAAAAAGTTTTGGAATTCTTCTAACAAAATTCAACGTAAAACTATTTTCAATTAAATCGAATAAATGATAAGGAATTACTTTTAGAATCGCGTTTAAATGTTTATCGAGTTAATCGTTGAAAATGTAGTTAAATCGTTCCCAATAATTGAGAATCGATTTTAAACTCTGCTATTGCTAAAGTTTATATTGAAATAATTGTGCTTCTGTTTTATGCACATATAAACTAAATTGTGTGGTGATTGTTAGTTTGAATAATCGTACGAAACGTAAGAATCGTATTAACACGTGTTATTAATGGATTTAATAATAAAAAACATAAAACACACAAATCATAAAATTATTTGTAACAAGTTAAATGAAGAATTACATCAAGTATTTTATCGTATTCATGGTTTTAAGTATAAAATTTGTCGAAATGTTAGGATTAACCTCAAAATATTCCCGCCTTTTTTAAAATTAATATTTCCAAGTAAATTTTATAAAAAAAAAAAAAAACAATTCAATTTGCAGGTTATAATACAATAAACGTACGAACTTTAATTTAATCTAATAAATAGATGATTTATAGTTGACAAACGTTAAAGTATCTCGAAAAGAGGTTATGTGTACTACTACTACTACTACTACTACTATCTCGTATCAGAGAATTTTTACCAGATTCCGATTTTTCTCTTGGTCATCGAACCGAAAAGGATTTTCGAAGCAGCACGCGTTTTATTCCTTCTCTCTCTCACGGAGAGTCGGATTTCGGGTGAATAAAATACGTTTGCTAGGAGGCCTTGGTGAACCTTTCCTTTATCGAATGTCGTACGGTTCGTTGAACGATACACATTCCTGTCACGTAATTCGTCCCACTCACTTGCTCGAATGAGATTCTCTCTTTAGACGATGGAAGAAGCTTTTTGATGTTGAGTATCCACGAAAGGATCATCTTTATGCACAACTACTAATACACCTTATTGTTAAACTTATTTTTTGTTTTTTCAAAATTTTAAACGATACACCGGGACAAAACAAAAATTGTTTAACCGATATTACGTTTTTTATTAAATATTAAAGTTATATTAAATTCAAATGCACAGACAAAGTGTATTGCACAACGAATAAATTAATTAAATTTTCATTCATTCATTGAGAATAAATTACTTACCAGGTACCATTGTTCTTTGAATAAAGGATCGGTGAATAAGTTTTGAAAAGGTACACCCCGATTTCTTTGACGATGATAAGACGCCTGTCTAGGTCTTGGTCCGAAATCATCGAAGAATGGCGGATAATCGCCAAATGTTGCGAATGACGTTGCTTCGAAATCTCTCTTCTTACGTTTTTTCTCATGTTGTTGTTGGAACCAATGTACCTGAAAAACAACCCCAAAAAAAACACAAATATTAGACATTTTTTGTACCATTAAATTCACTTTCTTCGATAATATTTTTAACCTCAATTCTTTTTGGCGGGATTTTATGGCGGGAAAAAATGAATTCTTTAACTGTACATGGGAAACTATGCAACTAAATTAACAAATGTTTACTTGTCTGATTGAATTATCAAATGTTTGTTCTATTTATTATTAATATTAACTATAATTATAAAAAACTAGACGTCCACATATGTGGCTAATGGTGTGAAGAGGTTAATTCGTAAACCCATTCATCGTCACGTGTAACATTCTCATTACAAGTTAAAAAATGTATTTGTGTATACACAATATTAGTTAAGGGTCTTAACTAATTTTTTATACTAACCTAATTATATATAAAAAACTATATATATAAATAATTAAGTTATAAACCTAAAGTTATATATAAAACAAATTAACCAATAGGTTAGATTAAGTGTTGAGCCTAATAATAATTAACCTAAACATTTTTATCTCATTTCAAATAATTTTATTTGAAAAAAAAAATATAATTGCCCATAAAACACATTTTTATTTAACATAATAATAATTTATTAAACTAATTTTTGACTTGTCCAACATTAAGCGTCCCACACAAAATGATTACGTTAATTTGAAGATGATATTTATCCGAATTCTCGTTTTTCTTCTTTTTATCTATCCATCTATCCACTCACATTTTGGCACAGCACTCGTTCAACTCTCATTGGACGATGAATAAAACGATAGTGCTTTTAGTACGAACATTTTCATGGGTACATTTCTTAGAATAAATATCGCGGAAATAATTGGCGAGCTTTGAGCAGACGTGGTGGGGATGGCTAGGGGAGGTGGTTTAGCGCAATTAACGTCTATTCGACGCTCGATAAAATCCTCTCAATCTTTCTCATACTCATTTTCATTTTCTCTATTTCTCTCTCTCTCTTACTCTCATTCACTCTTTGCTTCGTTCGTTTCCTATAAAGAGGAGTAAAATCGGACGCGTAAAACGCAAGCGCGTTTACGAGCGTGTAAATTAGTTCAACTCTCGACATTGGGGAGTGGGGGTGGGGTGGGATGGGGTGGGGGGATAGGGGTTTGGGGTAGAGGGTGGTAGTGGGTATAGCAACGTCGTCGTTTTACTTTCATTTGCCGCGAAATATCCACGGTGCTTCTCGTCAATATTCACGTTAGAGATAAAACGATGGTTGAATGGTAGGGGAGAGGGGATGGGGTAAAAAGAGAGAGAGAGGAGAGGGGATGGGGTAAAAAGAGAGAGAGAGAGGAGAGGGTTGATGGTCGTTAGGACGCGGATCGTCGAACATGCGGGTCGTTAATCGAGCAATCAACGAAAAACGTTCCCCCGGAACGAAGAGCTTTAATTCGGTAGAGTACCAAAAGCTTCGAGTAGAATCAGAAAATCCTCTATTTCGACTCTTTCATTCATGTTAACCTTCTCTCTCTCTCTCTCTTTTTTTATTTTTTTTTGTATAATAAAAAGAAGTTCAAAAAATTAGCGAGTGCAAATTATCGAGCACAAATTTATGTTCAAAAATGTATTTTAATTTTGTTTATTTTTAATTTATTATTTATGTTTCTAATTTTTTTTTTATTCCATTTTATGAGAATCAATAAACAATTGTTAAATTGCAATTAAAAAAGTAGCCACTCTTTCAAAATAAATGATTCAATTAATGTTAATGTTTTAAGTATCAAATTGACCATAATTAAAGAAGTTTCATTTTTGAATTTGAAAGATTAAGCAGCCAATTAAGTGCATGGTATTGGTCGTTATAATTTTATAAATTTTATCAATAATGAAATTAAACTCTTCTTTCTCTCTCTCTCTTTCTTTCTTTTTATTAAATTTTTCATTTGAAATTTGACGTTGAAAATAATCTTAGGAATTACCCTTACTCCCTTAAGGGACTTCGTAAATTCGATTTTAAACTGTATCCGAAAGCTTAACACATTGAATAAATAATCTCATGGAACACGTAAATGAAAACTATCCTCGTCACATACCTCGAGTAGTAGGTCGTAAAAGGTTAAAAAAAAAAAAAAATAAAAAATGGAATGAGTAAAAAGTGAAAAAGGGGGAATGGGGGATAAGAAACCCGTAATATAAACTTGCTAGCTGTCTACGACACACGATTACTCGAGAAAACTGTTGCAACATGAATTTATTATATTCTTTAGTCTGCATCGGAAATCTTCTTGATGCACATAAGGTAAACCCATAAATTTGTTGAGAAATAAAAATAGAAAGAAAAATAAATAACACGTAAATAAGTACACACGTTAGAAGAGTCATTTTATAAATGCGATAAGAGAAAATTGTGACAAAACCTTTGTACAATGGGGGTATACTATTACGTGATTTTGAGATTAACACCAAATTAAATTACTTTAAAATAATGAAAGGGTTTCACACGTAACACGGTTATGTTATAACACGATAAGAAAATTGCGACAAACCTTTGTTAAAAAAAAAAAAAAAAAAAAAAACATTGTACTGCTACGTGATTTTTGATTAAAATGAAATTAGTTTAAAATAATTTAAAGAGTTTCGTGTAACACGTCATGTTTTTTTTGTAAACCTGTACCCATACCATGTTACAAAAAGGTTATCTGTATTGTAAATAAAGATGTATATTATTATTGAACACCATTGAAGGATCTCGTTGTATTTCCACTTGGAAAAAAAAACGTGGATAAAAGAAAATCGGCAAATCTCGTACTTGTCGAAGAAACATCGCAAAATCTGCGGCTCGTGTCGTGAATAAGTAATCTCGAGGAGGGTTGTGGAAAACGAAAGAGGAACGAACCTCTTTTCTCAAACGTGTAACACTACAAAGAGTTAGTCGATATAACATGAAAAGAGTCGATCTTTTTCAACAGTTGAACTTTACGATGCGAATAAATCCAGGTCATCCTGTTATACTGAAAAGTTCAGTTCTTTTTTTCAACAAGAAATATATATATATATATATATATATATATAGAGAAATGGTTATTTTTATGTAATAATAATATTATTATTTTAAAGTGATCTAATTATTTTTTTATAAAATTAAAATTAATTATTTAAATATATTATGTATAATATATGAAATAGTACTATAATTACAATTGGAATATAATAAAATAATAATACAGGATAAAATATAAAAAGAGGGGTTAGTTTTGTCATATGTAAATCTGAAAAATACGTAAAATAATTGAATTGTAGTACACTGCTATCTATTGAATTTTTACAGAACCTAGGGGACCTAGATAACCTCTAAATAATAAATCCTAATTCAATTAATATAAAACAATATATTTTAAAGTGATATAATTATTTTTCAAAAAATTAAAATTAATTATTTATTATATTATATATAAAATAATACTATAATTACAATTAGAATAAAATAAAATAATAATACATGAAAAAAACGTAAAATAATTGAATGGTAATACAATGCCATCTATTGAATTTCTACAGTACCTAAAGTACTTAGATAACCTAAATATATAAATCTTAACATATATAAAGAAATTCTTTCAAATAAAATATCTTTCAAATAACATTGTGTTTCTTCTAAAACTTCAATTTCGATGTTGAAATCAAATTGATTAATTTCAGGTGAAAAGAAAAGAAATAGGTGTGCATATACAAACAAAACATCCGACAATCCAGTGTTAAATAACGAAACGTGGATTTGAGAAGATGCATTTATATCGAGTGGCTACGAATTCGATTCTTTTGAATTATGTAGGATAGATAAACGTTATTCCAAAAAATAAAGAAGAACGAGATCCGGATAAGAGTAATATCGAAATATCACGACGCAGCAGTCAGCCAGCAGGGCTGCTTGCTTCTCTTTATTCTTTTACTTTAGAAGAAACGTTTCCCCTCTTACATCTCTCCCCCAATTTCTCCTCGCTTTATTCGTTCGATTTAAAAAGCGCATCTCGAAGATTCTATTGTCCTGGTAAAGAAAACGCAAAAGGTAGAGAGAGGGTTGTTCTACTGAAGCATTCTAAAGACAATATTGTCTTTCTCAACACGATAGTATTTTATCGTTCTATCTCTCTCTCTCTCTCTCTGTCTCTTTCTCTTTTTCTCTTTTTCTTTCACTCTTTTTCAGTCTTTTATTTTTCTCCATGAGAGTTTTTTTTTTCTTTTTTTTTTTTTTTTTAAAACGTAAGTACATTTAAAAGCCACCTACAAGCAAAAAGGATTTTACTTTTAGAAATATCGGAGTAAAGCTTTTTTTTTTTCTTCTCCCCATTTACTTTGTTTTTTGTTTTTTCATTTTATTAATAGACAAAAAAAGGAATTGATATTCCCGGAGACTGTTGGGACAATGAAAGAAAAAGAAAAAAAAAAAAAAAGAAAAAAAAAGGTATAAAACAACAAAACTTACCCGTGACTCGTCTCTCAGTACTTTGTGATGTGGTTCACTTTCCGTCAACGATCTCTTGTTCAATCGTTTGTGAGAGAATAGGAAATAATTTTTCAATGAACCAATCTGTAACAAAGTAAAAAAAAAAGAGAATTATATATAAATATGTTTTTCTTCTAATTGTTATTAAATTAATATAATTTATTGTATTTTATTTTTATATAATTTCTATGACGATAAAATCTGAAAAGTGTTATATTATCCTAAAATTTATTTTATTTTTTTTTTTTTATATAATTATTATTTATTATAATATATTATTACTTATTTTATTTTTTAATTTTTATTTTTATTTTTATTTTTATATTATTATTTAGTATTATAATTATATTATTTATTTTATTTTTATTTTTTTTTTTATTTTTATATAATTTTTACAGTGATAAAATCTTGAAAGTGTTGTTATTCTAAAATTTATTTTATTTTATTTTTATTTTTATATTATTAATTTTTATTATAATTATTATTTATTTTATTTTTTATTTTTATATTATTATTTAGTATTATAATTATATTATTTATTTTATTTTTATTTTTATAAAATTTTTACAGTGATAAAATCTTGAAAGTGTTGTTATTCTAAAATTTATTTTATTTTATTTTTATTTTTATATTATTAATTATTATTATAATAATTATTTATTTTATTTCATTTTTATATTATTTCTACAATAATAAATTCTTTAAAATGTTATTATCACGAATAAATAAATAATTAATGTCTATCGTTGTCTATTATAACAAACCTAATCTATATATATATATATATTAAAAATATATATATATATGTAATTGTATATAATACAGTGTACACAATATATACAATATATACAATATACAATATACAATATATATATGTATATATATATATATATATAGACGAGTTGTGATGACAGGAATTTTCTTATCTCGCAACACGTTGGAATTTTCCCGTAGTAGTTTTACAAAAAGCTGTATAAAAATTTTGACAATATCCGTCGAGAGAGAATGATATCGAAGAAACTTCGTAATATCGATTCCTTTACCTTCACCCTTTCCCTCCCCCAACCCTCTTTTTTTCTTTTCCTACAGATATAGAGATAGAAGAAGAAGGAAGATATGTTCACACTAGTCATCCTATTCGCTTTTACGATTTCTTTCAAGGAACATTTTTTTTGTGTCTATACCTCTCTCTCTCTCTCTCACATTGTGTTTTTTGAGAAATAAAAAACTGGATGTTCAAGTAAAAAAGAAAAAAAAAAAACAATAACAAAAAATTACAGATAAATTGTAAATGTGTTAGTCGTATTCTTATTCATCATTGTGACAAATATTAAAATGATTAACACGTACGTCGTATTTCTAGATGATAGTTTCGTGCTTAGAATATATATATATATATATATATATATAAAATATCCATGTATGTGAATATTTAAATATTTATTTCTAAAGTACTCTCTCATCATAGCGAACGTTCGTTCATTCTCAAATCGAAATATACATACATACATACATACATAAACTTATCCAGGTACTTAACTATATTTGTGTGCGAATAAGAAGATAAGTATATACGTACGTGTGTATATATATATATATGTAATATGTATATGTATATCGTTGAGCCGAGGATAAAAGCTTCTTATACTACTTCACACACACACACACATATACATATACATGGTGAATCAACGATTCACCTACAAAAGTAAGCCATAGCATGAACTTTTCAATTCTCACGTATTTTCGTGGTCTATCTCTCGCATTATGCGCCTAGTAGCTTAGTTTTATTTCGTGCACGTTTCGTTAAGTTACGTAGAAGAGAAGAGAATAAGTAGAATAGGATGAAATAGAGAAGAAAGGGGGTAGGAGGGGGGGCGG